CAGAAGGGACACTGGCGTGTGTAGAGTGCGCAGGTGGCTTCTCTCAGAGGCTGGATTTTCTCACCAAGTTCCAGTGGCGCTTTACCAGTGGCACCCCAAAGCCTCACTGCATGACCTTCACTCCACATCCTCTGCAAGCTGCTATCCCTCTGGGCAGGGTGGACTGGAAGAAATGCTGTGTTTAGGATCTCCGGGACAGTCCCGGAGGGCCTGGGAGCTGGTGAGTGACGGGTCCAAGCCATGACTCCCAGCAGCCTCTGGTGCCCTCACCTGCTGGCTGGCTCCTCCCCCTCACTACTGGGGAAACAGGCTAACTATGTAAGACCAGTGGGAGTGCTGAGTGCCTTTTTTTTTTTTTTTTTTTAACAGCTCTACTATGCTGTATTAACTCCGTATCCTTGAACTAGAAGCTTGTAGGAGTTAAGCTTTTTTTAAAAGTCTTTCAAGGAAAATAACCAGCTTGAAATATCTTGAAATATGTCATGACTAGAATAGCCTTAGTCCCAACAAAGATGATTTAAAGTGTTTATATCCATATATCGAATAAAATAAGTAGGCAAGGTATCGAAAACATTTGTCATCACTCCAGTAAATTGCTTGTTTATTACTGCCTTACAAATGATCCCACATTACTTGTAGTGATAGTAAAACAACTACAGCAGTACTGTTGAATATTTACTATGTATCGGTCACTAAAGCAACAGTTTTGTATATACCTAGTATCATTTAACTCTCCCACCAACCTGAGACACTTAAGTGCACTTCATTAAGTTCCTGGGAAATGGAATTAAAAAACCAGTTTGGGAGCAGATCTGCAACCCACATAGTAGTACTTGAGTTTGATTCCTGATCTGGCTCCTGACTCCAGCTTCCTCCTAATGCAGACTGTGAGAGGCAGCAGTAATGGCTCAACTAATCAGTTCCTGCCACTCACAGAGGAGACCTGGATTCCATTCATGGCTCTGGCCTCTGCTCCACCCAGCCCACATAGGCATTTGCGGAGTGATCCAGCAGATGGGAGCTCTCCGTCTCTCTGATTCTCAAATAATAAAAGTACTGTTTTAAAAAGGATAAGTTTATTTTGGTGCAAAAAAACTTGAAATCCAAATATAGTTTGTTTTATAATTCGCATTTTCCACAAAATTTTTGAAGACCCCTTGTATGCTTGGATTTCATTTTCTTTTTCAAGAGGCAGAGAGATAGAAAGCTGGTTCATTCCCCGAAGGCCAAGGCTCTGAGTGGGGTGGGGGAAGCCAAAGCCAGGAGCTGCGAACCCAATCACATGGGCAGCAGGTACCTAATTACCGAAGCCATCATGGTACCTCCCCAGAGCCGCATTAGCAAGAGGCTGGAGACAGGAGCCAGAGCAGGTGTCAAACCCAGGTTCTCTGTCATGGGACACACCGGTGTCTTGACTGTTAGGCCAATACCTGTCCATTCACAAACTTTTCAAATACCTTTTAGGTATTGTTATCTCCATTTTATCGATGAAGAAACTGAGGTAAGAGAAGTTAAGACAAAGTAGGCCAAGATCATATGTCTTTAAAAGTAGCAAAGATAAAAACTAACTGGAGGGAGAACCCTATGCCTTGAGCTGCACTGCCTGTGGTCACCAGCTAGGCAATAGCTGTATGTGGGCTAGGGAGGCTGACTTTACCCCCTCACTATAAAAGTCTCTAGACAGAGAAACTCATTTCTTGCATTTGTACGGGTTTGTGGACGGGGCTGTCTTCCCTTTATCCCAAAAGTACTAATTGTAAGCTAACTACACGCCAAGTCTTCTGCAAGGCCCTTGGAGAATATAAATGGAGGTAGTGATTTGGTGCCCTTGAGGCTGTCTGGGCCCAGGAGGGAAGATGAGAGAGATTCATTGCTCAGTGTATGTGGTTGTCCTTGGGTCTTCAGATGTGGCTCAACCTGACACCTAATTAAAATAAGGCACTTTAATGTTGACCGAATTAGTGACCCGTCATTATGTATCAGTCATCAAGCTAAATATTTTGCAGGCACTAGTTCCTGATTCCTTAAAATAACTCTCAGAGGTGAGTACTATAATTATCTTCATTTCATCAGTGAGGAAGTTGACGCTCTGATGGGTGAAATGACCTGCCCAAAGCCACAGCCCTGTGAATGACAGAGGTGGAATTTGAACCCAGATCAGTCTGAGTCCACAGTCACTACATGAATGTCTTAGAATATAAGTACCTCTGAAAGGCAGAAATACAGATGTGCACCTGACATATGCACACTGAGAATGTAAGCTTCTTTATCTCACCTACACTGTGAGGAGCACTTGCTCACGGATCTGCTGTGTTGGATATTTCTGTACTCTGCACACATCTGGCTGTGCATATCCTCACTTCGTCTCCACCACTTGCCTTCTCCCCTCTGAGAGTCGCTGACCAATCAAGGGGAACATTTGGAAGAGAGAAAAAACATTACCACCTTCCCTTTTAATTGTTATGAGGACATTGGGCCTGTTTATTTGCTGGCCTGAGCCCCATACTAAACATTTCAGTTCTAATTACATTGTCTTTTTTTTTTTAACCTGTGTCCAGTTGCCCTTCTTAGGGGATCAGAGAAATGACCATTTAATTGTTTGTCAATAAATGTTAATATAATTACAATTACTTGCAGAGAGTAAGGCCATTTTAAGAACTTTACTCTTAAAAAATTTCCTTAACTTACATTCAGATACCAAAACCCTGTGTATTGCACTATAATTGTACATTTTACATATGAAGGGACAGCCCTTACTTCATCACATGGGGGAAAAAAGAAGTCTTTTTGCTTTGCCACATTGTGAATGCCCACAACGGTACCTGGAGAATCTTAAATTCTCCCCTCACTGCTCTTAGTATTTTGCAAACCCCTCCCCCAGATTTAAAATTAGATTTGACAACTGGCATTCTCAAAGTAGGTCTTCACTAATTAGAGGGTTGTCCTCTCTGCCTCTGTCACACCACTGAACTCTTAATCTTGCACTGAGAAGGCAGGACTGCTTGTTCCCAAGTCCTTTTCGTGCATGGCTGAGGGTGAGTTTTGGAATCAACCAGACCTGGGTTCTGCTGTCTGCCCTTGTGACACTGGTGGCCCCGGGCAAAATACTTGTATTCACTGGGAGTGTCATTTGCAAAATCAGGATACTGAAACTTTATTCTACAGGTTTAAGTGTGGTTCCCGTGATAACGTATGTGCTAACATAAGGCTGGGTGGACGTAGCAGTTCCTCAGAGTCAGTGCTGTTCCACTGGAGTGCTCTGTGGAAGGTCTGCGATGCCTTGGGCTCTTCTTGAGGATGTCAGTTCAGCTGCTTTGGGTCACCTTTCAGTGACTTCATGGTTCCTTGGCGTTTTGGGCCGACTTGGGAGGCTTTCTTTCTGAAGTCCATTAATGTTTCATTGAAGCTGTGGAGCAACAGCTGTTAAACTTGCTTGGTGGGCCCTAATTGCAATGAATAATCCATGGGCTCCTCCAAAATGTACTTCTTCAAGATGGGTGTTATTAAATTCCATCCAATCCAAAGACACTTTAAAACATGTTTAAAATTTTCCCGAACCAATCAGAAAACTGGTTGGTTCAGGGAGTAAATGTAGCAAAATATGCTAATTTATGCAAAGACTACTGTTGGAGGAAGGCCCTGGCTGAATTTGAAGTAAAACATCTTCTGAGAAAACACCTTGATGATACTATGTGATACTAAATGACTGAAGGTGTTTTCAAGTCATGTTTAAATACAAAGCAATTGCTAAAACAAGATAAGGTTTATTTTTAAAAAGATCTTCTATGCTGAATATGACAACATTGTATTCTAGCCTTGACATGCTTATTTTGTGCAATATAGTCTAGTTACAGGAGCCTTCTATAAATAGAAGCAAGGTGCACCACCATTAAGATTTTTACGCTAATAGAATATATAAACCACACAATAATTCCATTTAAATAATTTAAGTCTAGGGATAATTTTATTTAGAACTCCCCATAATTTCTAGGTTTGAGCACTTGTGTTTATCAGCAAGACCCACTTACTATATGTTACAAACTAATTAATTTTGCAACAACTCTGAATTTTCCTTATGTCCTTCCTTAAACCCAATTTACATTCTTGTTCAGTTCATGTTTTATGTTTCTTTGAGTTTATTTGAAAAAAGACAACAACAAACCCCCACCCTGTTTTGGGGGCATCCGCTGTTAAACTGGACTACAGAGGAGCCCACTCCTACTCTGTGCTCTCCTAATTAACATTTATTGAAGCGCTTTGGATATTAGATATTAAGGGAGCGGTCCCAATAATTTGAGATTTGAGATTTAAAACAGGTGGCAATTATACTTGGACTAAAGAGTATTAAAAGGTAGCTCCCCTATTTAAAGAGGGGCGTATTTAACGAAAAATCGTAAGCCTAGAGGTCAGAGGAACCTGTCCAGAGAAAGCAGTGGGAATTGAGTGATTTGTTTAGCTCCTCACCTTCCCTTGGTCTCCAGTTTTGTTTTCCTTTTTAATGTTGACATACAAGGTTCACAGCTAAGGCTGCAAGCATTTGGGAATGGGGAATGGAAAAAGAGGGTGTTGCAAAGTTTAGTACCTTTAAAAGTTAGGGTGAGCCAGTTAGTCACCAGGTAACTAAGTTAAAAGTGGTGTTTCGTTTTTTAAAAGCACATACAAAAACTTTATTTACAGTGGCTCGCTTTAATAAGGTTTCAAACAAATGCCGTGTTTTTTCTTTAACCTCCCCCCCACCCCGATTCGAGCTAAAACCGGAGTGTGTGTGTGTGTGTCTGGCTGGCTCCATGTGTAATTCGCCTGCAGAGGATTGGCACGCCGTCTGTGGACCTTTATTTTAAAAGCTCCCCCCCCAAAAAAAAACTGTCTAATAAACCCCCAATACATTTCTGAAGTTCAAAAGAATCCCAAAGGAATCAAGAATTAACAATCTTGGAGCTTGATGTAAAAAAAAATTTTTTTTTAATTAAATAAATCCTAATCTCCACATTTTTCGCCAGGCGAGAACCGAAGTTCGGAGGTAGAGGAGCAGGCGAGCGGTTTGCCCGGGCGCAGAGCATGAAGGCCGGGCGGGCGCGGGGAGCGGGCGCCCGCCGCCCGGCGCGGGGGTGAGCGAGAGAGAGAGCGGAGCGCGTGTGGCCGGCGCCGCTCGGCCGGGAGCTCCCGCGCCCGCGCCCCGCGCCCCGCGCCCGCCGCCGCCGCCGCCGCCGCCCCTGGTGCGATGGCGCAGAAACCCCGTTGACAAGGCACTGCTTTTTCATGACGGTGAGTTTCCCTTTGAGTGTATTATAATTTTGTGATAAAAATTTCAAGGAGAAAAAAAAAAACACACAACCTCCTTCCTCTGCCTCTTTCCTTCGGGGAGGGGAAAAGCGAGGGAGGGGGGGCTGGAGATCTATCTCTAGACAGACAGAGAAGAAAGAGGAGCAAATTAAACACCGAGTTGCCAAAACCAGGATATTAGGTTTCAGCCCAGAGAGCTATTGGCTAAGGCTGTGTTTTTTTTTTGGGGGGGGGGGGGGTTTGTGGGTGGGTGATGGTGGTGGTGGGTGGATGTTTAATGGACACGGAGAAAAGGGGAATCGAGTGTTTATGCCTCTCCCAGCGCCGCCGGGGCCCGGGAAGACCAAGTTCAGTGTCTCGGGCGCGCAGGGGGCGGCGGGGCCGGGCCGGGGGCGCCTCGGCGGGGTGGGGGCCCTGGCGCCTTTCTTTTTTCTTTCCCCTTTTTTTTTTTTTTTTCCTTTCCGCGGATGCAAATTTCTGAGCGGGGAGAGGGGAGCCTGGGAAGGGGGGTGGCGTGGCGGTTGGCGGGGGGGAGGGGAGGGGAGG